ATAAACGATTTATAATTATGGATGGATGTTATGGATGGTAAATTATATCTGTATTACGAATGGTATTTTGGTAATTTGTCGTTTTTAATTTCAAATTTAAACTCCGCGAAACCAATACTTGGCTTGCTATGAAATAAAGACATAGAAAGAACTATTCGTTCAACTTCACGGACGCCGTAAAGTGCTGTTTGCTGTTACAAAAATGGTTAGGCTCGTCCTGGAAAGTACCACGGTTTCTCAGAAGACAGACGTGGCCGTAAAGCCCCAATTTATTATCAAAGTGCGCCAATCCATCGCAAATGAACGCACACACCGCGACAATATAATCCGCAAGTAAGAATCCCGAGACGCGTCTGTCGTGACGTAATTAAAAAACTTAAAGGCCCAATTGCGCGTCAGCGCTTTAAAGCGGGCGCACGAAAAAGGGTTACCGGAGTGCGCGCGTCTGACACTAATAATAGGCGAAATCCCACACTTCACGTGCTCCTTGTTAGCGCGTCTTTCAGCGGCTGCAGCGTGGTAATTGCCTGCGTACAGCCGAATAAACAAACGTCCCCGCCGCGTAATGATCGTGAATGTTTTTAGCCCTTTATGGCCCGCCGAAGCACGAAATTGTGTGTGCTCTAAAATAAATCACATTAATGCGACCCCGTCCCTTCTTTCGCTATTTTTATATACTATTTTCGATCGAAGTTAACACCGTTTTTATGTCCAAAAGTTAATGCCCAGTGTAGTAACTTTAATTTAAATTGATAATAATGTACACGTCATCTTCGACGAATATAACCGGGCTGACGAGCTATAATTGATTTAGGTTATGTTTACAAACTTGGAACCGGAGCTAAATAAGTAATTAAAAATAATTATGTTTCATAACTTAAATCTTTCAATAGGTCCACTGTTTTTATGTTCAAAAGTTAATTGCCAAGTGTAGTAACTATAATTTAAATTGGTAATAATGTACTACGCGTCATGTTCGAGACCTGTTTTACGAACTAAAATTAATTTAAGCTATGTTTACTTAATTGGAACCAGATCTAAATATGTAAATAAAAATAGCATGTTTTATATCTTAAATCTTTCATCGTTAAGTTCTATAAAACATAAAATATATTTATAGTTGTAAATAAATTAGCTTATGGATTTTATCGCGATTTTCTTCAATCTGATACTTAAGCATTCACGAGACAGACTAAGAATGTTTCAAATCCTATTATCATAACATATTATTTTATTAAAATGTGAAACATTCGCGTGAATAAGAGTAAGCATTTAAACTTGCGTAAAGGTATCAATACTTTATTCATATATTTCCGGCGTATTGAATTACTAAAAACCATATATAATTTGGTAAATTATAACTAAAGATGTAACTGTAATTATAATATGGTGCCAATTTATTTTATTTTATTTTTAGTTACCTATTTAGTTTTAATTAGGTTAGATTATCATATTCACTTAGATTATCAGTATCACACAAAAAGAAAGTAAACTCTTTTATGACGGACAATAATTCTTGTGATATTACAAGCGGATAAAAAAATAAGGACGATATTATGTTGTTCCATGCCATTAATTACACATAATTTCTTTTATTTTGTTTTATAACCGTTGAATAATAGTTTTATATACAGATAATACATTGTTCACTAAGTTCACTCGAAATTCCTCACATTATGAAAAAAAAAAAAAAAACTTTATTTAACATACTATTTGCTCACGGGATAAACCTAAATGCTGTAAAATACATAAAATAAGTTAATTAAGTTCATTTAACTATTGTTTTATAACATTATATATAGATTAAACAATTTATTGAGATTATTTTTTAAATAAACAATATATAGATTAAAGAAAGACTAGCGCCTGCAGTTCCTTAAACACAAAATTGTGTTGTTTATTAGATTTAAGTCAGGTTGAAGTTACCGGAGTAGATACCCGGTAATAAGTAAATAAGGAGTCCGAGAGATAGTAGTTGCTATTCCCCCGGCGTGTCTCGTTAGACCGCCTTATGACATTAGTAGACTGCCGCAAAAGCACGTCGCCAAAGTCTGGTCCCGGCCGATGCAATGCAGACGAAGTGAGAAGCCATTATTGACTTGATGTTTCCGAATATCTTAATTAAGAATTCGTTTAGTTTAGATTCATAATGTGTTGATCGATTTAGTTCGATTCTAGTTTATTTTCTTCTATATATATAAGTGTTTGTATTTATTTTGTTCTATGTACCTATATATATATGTATATTTTTATGTGAAAACTTGCCAAGCGAGCAGACAGTTCACCTGATGTTAAGTGAATATAGCCTACCATAGACATCTGCTACACCCGAGGGTTCCAGATGCGTTGACAACCTTTTGAAAATTATAAATAATTATAATTATAAATATTTTAGGACACATTTTTTACACAACATTCTCTAGTCCCAAACTAAGCAACGCTTGTACTATGGGTACTAGAAAACTGATAGACATACTTAAACATACTTTTCTTTTGTAAATAAATACACATTATACATATTTAAACACCTAGACACTAGAAAAACACTATGCTCATCACACAATATTTTTCCAGTAGTGGGAATCGAACCCACACCCTCTGGCGCAGAAGGCAGGTACACTATCGACTACGCCATTTGGGTCGTCAATTGGGTTATTTATATATTTGCTTCAAGCATTTATATATATGCTTGATCGTAGAAAATATTATCAGAGATTTGGCTTCGAGTCATTGCAGGTGAAGTGTTAAATGTTTATTCATGTAAATGTTCGTGTATTTGCAGACTTCTCTTGAGAATATTTTGTTTAATATAAATTTTCACCTAGATTTCTTAATGCATATTGTGAAGATTTCTTACAAAATTTGCTGATTAGTTAACATTCGAATAATGATTGACGATAAAAATTAATGATTGGCTACTAGCCCAGGTAATTTTTAGCTTTATACATTATCTGTTGTTTTCATGCATCGCTTTGTGTTTTTTTTACATTATAAATGTAAGTTTTGTCGATTACAGATAATGTTTGCTTATTTATGTACCTACTTGATAAGACTTGGAAACGATTAAAATTTTAGCGCAAGGAAGGAAGAAACAAGAAAAGAACAAATGTAGAGTTTATTTGGCTGTATAATATAGTTTAGGAGTGGAAAAAATTCGTGGAATTCTTAATGTTTTTAAAGCAATAGATCAAAGATGCATATAAAGACATGTTTTATGGTCGTAACAAAAACTTTAAATATTACTCTTGGTAGAGGATTCGTAAATAAAATCACTTTTATACCTCATGATTAATGTAATAGTTTTTAAAAAATAAGCTCTAACATCCTTTTCTTTTAAAATATATTCAAAGCGCATTTAAAAAATATCACCTAGGTCCGGCAAAGATTGGTAACATTGAATAAATCAGTGGGTAAACATGATTAAATCTGCAGGGAACTTAAAGAGTTTATGTTCTCCGACGTAGAGTAAATTTGTTCTACCAATTTGCGAATTCCATGAAAGCGCGAACGCTCGACAAAAACTCTTGAAATGGCCCTTTAAAGGAACTTACTGCGTAAAGACGTGTATACAAGGTAGCGTGAAACTATTTTATTCTGTGGCTCACGGAGTTCAAATAATTTCAACTTACAATTCAGGATCTGATGATATGTCACTATTCAAATACAACATCAGATAGGGCCAGATTTCACTGATTCTATACAGTTTTGTTGGTCTGCTTGTTAAAAAACAAACAATGTTCGTTTATCTGTTTCATCATCATCATCATCATCATTTCAGCCTGTTTGAGTCCACTGCTGAACATAGGCCTCCCCCACAGACTGCCACGAAGTACGATCCTGAGCCACCTGCATCCATCGACTTCCCGCACATTTGCACAGGTCGTCACTCCATCTAGTGGGGGGTCGTCCTACACTGCGATGGCCAGTACGAGGCTGCCACTCGAGAACCTTTCTTCCCCAACGGTTATCGGTTCTACGAGCTATATGGCCGGCCCATCGCCACTTCAGCTTGCTAATCCTCTGAGCTATGTCGGTTACCTTGGTTCTACTGCGGATGTCTTCGTTACCTGTTTAATGCATTTCAAAATCACCGTCTTATATTTTTGACCAGTTAATTAGGAATATTTAGAAACTGTTCGCTTCTCTTATGTAATAATAAAAAGCTTAATTGATATCACCAGCTTTTACTGTTTTCTTGTATACATTCTTTAGAATACTGTCTCTATGAATATCTGTTATCATGACTGAATCTACGGATGACTGTAATACGGAGTGGTCTATTGTTGCCACGGCAAAAGGTGATGAGATGTTCTCTCTCGCTCCTTGGGTTGGCTGAGGCTCAGAGTGTGCCATTGAACCGGATAGCCTAGAGACAAAACGTACGAGGGGAGATCAAAAACTTAGCGGAATGAAAGGGTAAGAAAGAGACAGAGATTTTCCCGTATGCCTAGGACTACTTAATGACCCAACTTTACTATAAATAACAAGTTTTACCTAAATCTGGTCTTGTTAGAGTTATCGCAAAATAAATAAGTCAATCGGGAAGAAAAAGACTGTACAGAAAATTGAGTTTCGCGCTGTCATAAAGTTCCTCACTAAGTTGAGTAATACGCCTCAGATTATGCTGGAAGATATGTCATCTGCGGCGTACCAACGTACGTAACGCTGCAAACGTACTATGCCACAAAAGAGGTCTTAGTGCTATAGTGGGGAAGTCCTATATAACCCAGGGTATAGGGTCATACATAGGTGTCAGGGTATCTCTTAATACTTCTCCTAGTGACGACCCCCCACTAGATGGAGTGACGGCCTATGCAAGTGTGTGCTCAGAATCGTACTTCGTGGCAGTCTGTGGGGGAGGCCTATGTTCTCACACAGGATGAAATGGTGATGATGATTATCAGAAGAAAGTTTAAAGATATGAAACTTGAAGTGCGTGTCGGAATCCGACAGTGAGTACGGTCCCTTAGCGGCCTTCGAGCTGAGACGAAGTCGAGTCACGGCCGAGTCAATGATTTAAGGGCGCCGGCGCCCGGCTCCGCTAATTGGTTGCGTTTAATAAGACAACTGACGATCGCAAAGTTAATGAGCGCGGCGCGGCGCTGTAGAGTCGATACCGATCTCCTCGCTACCAAGTCGCTAACGAAACACCGTTTTATGGGATTTATCGCTGCAGCACTTTAATCCGGGAGCAGTTTGCGTTGATATAGATACTGTACCGGGAAAGCCGTGCGCTGTAATTGAAAGCGTAGCAAAACCCTAAGTATTCTTAGTGGTAACGCGACACTAACGGGGAGATATGCAGTTATGTGCGTAAGATATATACGGTTCAAAGAATTAATTGTATAACGGTCAAGTTTAATTTTTTTGGCAGATTTTATTATTATTTACTTTTTATATTATGACACTAATGGCTTTTGTCGCGGTTAATAACAATTTTAAAATACCCGGAGTTTTCGAATATTTTTTGCAATTATTGTCATGGGATTTTTAAAAGTAAAAATTCAACGACATAAAATCCGCCTTAAAATTTTTTATGTGCTGTGTTAGTCTGTACTATCTGTACATACTCAATTTGTCAAAAAAAATCTGTCCTATTGTCAATTTTATTGAATCTAAACTTCTAAAAGACTCAAAAAATTTTAATCTTTGAAACACTTAAAACAATTGTAACTTCTGTCCCGTGACCATGAACGCTTGAAAGGGTACGAAATATCGGAAATTAAGAAATCAAAATTAAAACTCGATGAAATCCGTAAACTAGTTTCATTTAATAACTAGTTTCATATATTATCGCGTAAAATCAAGAAATCAATAAACTAAAAATCAATAAAAAAAAAAAAATGTTAGTCTGTAAACATGCTCCACTTCATTACATCATTCTACATGACAGAAAATAAATATGTCGCAGCGGAAACATGAGGAGCACATTTCTTTCCCCCGCTAGCATTTATTTCATCCTCATAAAAATTCCCACCACGATGAACCGAAAGAGAGTTTAGTCGGCATTTAAGTAATTCGCCGCTAATCTGGTTATGTTCGACTCCACTTTCTCCTAGTTCGCGTTATTAAGTTACCGCCTGTCTGTACTGTCTGAATTAAAAGCAAGACGCCATTTTATGGTTACAATTAGTTATTGCAACAGTGTCTAATCCTATCAAATGTATGCAAAAATCATAAATAGTAGTTTCAAACACGTTTACACGAATGTCCTGTACATTCTTTATCGTTATTTATTACCTATAGGTGCTTAATATATATTAAAGTTGTAATCTGTAAAACTATTCATTTCTATTTTCAGTTAACTCTGAAACTTAATGACACATTTTACAGAAACCTACAACGCGCGATCTTTTATAAACTTAAAGTAGCTAAAACAATACACAGGCAAATAAATTATCAATCTCTATACATAGGAAAAGGATTACAATATTTTAAATGGACCGTGGATAACAATTTCGGGGGTAAAATTGCCAATAGTGGCATGAAGCCGAATACTTAATTTTGCCAAACCAATATATCTCATATAACAATTGATTGACCACAGCTTTAATGCAAGGATTTATTAAAATGATCATAAAAATGTTTTTATTGTATCGGAGTTATTCCATGCTCTGCCCAAGAAAAAATGTTCACTTACTTTAGTTAGTGGCTCAAGCCCGATTATGGTATTTAATCTATTCTGGCATTAGGTATAAATTTATTCTGCTTTTCGTAAATTGCAATAACGTCGCATGTTAATTTAGTTTAAAATTTGGTCGACGATTATTACTATTAAATTTAATGTAACTGACCACAACCGATAACACCTTCGGCGTTTAAGAAAACAACGTTCTTTTTTCGAATTAAAATTTTCAACACGTCAGTTTTTTGATTAACGAAAAACAAAACCGACTTCAAATACCTCGCTCTGTTTTCATTTCATAATTGATTTTCAGGAGTTCTCTACGTATCTCCGGAGTCCCAAGATCCAATACAATTAAAAAAAGTAAAGTAAAGTAACAGCCCATACATGTTTCAAATTTCCTAATTGATAGTTTCACTGCGGATTGGCGGTTCTATACGTTATTATTTCGAAAATTCCTCACCGCGGAGCACGTGTCAGCCAAGATCCACCGGGGATCGAACTCAGGTTGCTCGAGTATATTGAATTAAAGGCGAGCGCCCGGACACTGAGCTATCACGGCTCATTATGATCCAATGAAATTAATATGGGGCCACGTGGGAAGCACCGGCTTTCAAATAAAAGGAGAATCATCAAAATCTGTTCACTTATTCGAAAGTTCTGATGTAACAAACATTTAAAAAAATACAGTCGAATTAAGAACTTCCTCCGTTTTTGAAGTCAACTAGCTGCTGCCCGCGACTACGTCTGCGTAGAATAGGCTGAAGGCGTAACATTCAGACAGAAAGACAGATATACATTAAATATGTATATAAATTAGCCTATGTCTTATTCTGTTGTATGAGCTATACTATTGTACAGTTTCATTAGAATCCATTCAGTAGTGTTTGCGTGAAAGAGGAACAAACAACCATCCACACATACAAACTTTCGCCTTTATAATATTAGTAAGGAAGTAAGGTAAAAGCGTCGTCACTACGTACCTTCCCGACGCCCGTGGGCTCCTTCACGCCGAGCCGCCGCAGCAGGGCGGGCGGGGGCGGCGGGGGGGTGCGGTGCAGCGCCGCCGCGAAGCCGCTCGCCGTGGACGTGTCGTCATCGCGTCGTCGTCGCTCCCTGTGGGGGGAGCCGCCGCTGCATTTCGCCGTGGACGCCCTGTGGAGGGTAAAGAGACGCGTCACGTTTCGTAAGGACTTGGGAGTTGGACGATGACTCCGTTGCGCGGTTGCCAAGGTATTGGCTCGGCGTCGGGGGTCGTTGGTTCGATTCCCACGCGGGACAACTATTTGTGTGACACACAGATAGTTGTATCCCATGTGGGTGTTTGTCCGCGTGAAATTTATGTTAATAAGCGACCAGTGAGGATCAAGTCTCGCTCCCTGGGCGGATTCTTCATATGGCCCCAATAAAAAGCTCTCCCGTTTTTTATACAAGCAGTTACCACTGTCGGCAAACCTTGAAATATTTTTATAAATTAAGTTTGAAGAAAATCGGTTGTTTTCCAAAATGATTACATTAACGATATCGGTGCAATCGAGAACATAGCCAGTGTATGTCTGTCAAAATAGCTGCTATCCCGAAAGTAGACAGATGAATATACTTCTGATTGTTTAATGTGTTAAAAAAAATTTCGACAACATGCATGCGTGCCGTCGCCTTCAACTTTCAAGCCTCCTTCCAAAGTGATAAATGAATGCGACGCGATGTCCCGACTGACCTCTTTACAATTTTTCAAAACGCACCCGCCTCGCGTCGATACCGGGGGGCATAAAGGGGCCTGCACACGATCCGCTGATGGATGGAGTCTACGTGACGACCGGGTACCGTTCCTATTTTATTTTAATGCCTTCGAACGTATCCCGGGCCGGCTTAAAATTGAAAACGCCCCCGGCACGGGAAAGTGCGGCATTTCCGAGTTGACATCGACGATCTTAATAAATTATTTCCCGTGGAAATTCGCCGCGACGGTGGCCGCATATAAACAAGGTGTTAGCGGCCGTTAATTTACCGGATTTCGTTCTTTTTTAAGTCATATCGGTAACGATTCTTTTGGACCCCTGAATAAGCGTCCAATGAGTAAATGCAATTCTTTCTATTGGGCAACATCTTTTTTATATTTTCTATTTATAACCACAAATGTGGAAGTGATTGTAATTTTTTTTTCAGCAATAAAGGAACTAAATAGCACTTTTCTAACAAAAGCTTTTACGATGTATAATAAAATTATTTGAATTAAAATTTTACGATTACTAAACGTGCGTCCGTTAGGTGTTTAATATTTTTTAATTAGGTATTTATCAGTTCGTTCATTGCAACAACGAAAATTCGATGTACATACAAACATATGTTTTGTTTGTCGTGCAAAGGCGATTTGAGGACGCCATACATAGTTATAACACTTAAAAAGTATTCAAAAATTACGTATTTGGACTCGTCTCATGAAAAGCGCTGAAGAGCATGACTAGTCCCAAACCTTAAAGGGATTTTAGTAAAGCAGATAAGGGCTTGCAATAAGCCTATATCGAGTAAAGACGTTGCCACCGTGACTTTGAAAACGCACTAACTTTTAAGGAACCACGATAGCTTTACGCGATGGCAAGTCCGCTAGTGGCGTGCACAGCTCGCGTGACCACGCACCCCTTAATGTGCTCTGAACTATTAACATTCTTCTATGGGAATGTTTAGATAACTCTCGACGCTCGGTGGCTGAACGTTGCGCGCCCTCCGTCCTGCTGCGATAGCGCCAGTGGGGGGGATGTGACTAATTGGAGGGTCTTTGGATGTATTGATTTGTTTCAGTTCGACAGCCTGTTAGGGTGCTCGATACCCCACACGTATAGTTTGATGACTATTGAGCTGACTCATTCATTAGACAGATTTAAAGGCGTTAGTGTCCCGTAAGAAATGGGATTTCTTACCGCTGAAGTTTCACTGCATCATCACAACACATATATTTCCTCTTCTGTTAATCCAATTAATAAATACTATATATAACTATTTGGATGATATTTGCCAAAATAAATGTTTTAGGACTGCAATATGTGAATAATACTGAACACTCTTCATATAGTGTTGATCAGACTCACGACGATGCGAAATGAAAATGCGAAAAAGAAAACTTGTAGGGATTTATTTTCTCGATCCATCTTTTTTCATCGAAGAAATTTTGTATTGGATGGTGGAAGGAAATGGCTGAGTGTTAACTATAAGTTTTTTTCTACCTAGCTTTACTGATATATTCTTTTTTATATATAAAATTTTTAAAGGATATTATAATCTAAATTATCTTGCTACACTGATACCATTTAAATCATGTTATGAATAATGAAATGGATCAAGATCAGGAACCATTTTATAAAAAAGAATAATATTTAATAACTATTAAGGAAAATAAATAGTAACTTAATTCTTCGTAGCATCCTAAGTAAGGTTCTTAGGGATGTCATATATCAATAACTTTCAATTTGACGCGGACTTCACTTAACATGATGGACGTTTGTGTTACGACTTATAGTCGCCATCGATCAAGGGATTGGTCAGCTTACCTTGGGGAAATGTATTTGAGAGGCTTTTGACAAAACAAGCATTTCAGCCGGGTAGAGTTGACGTAAATGATTCAAAACGCAATGGATGAAATAGTTATGGTTGCTCTTGAAGATTAATCTGACTGACGTGGACACTGTCCTTTTTCAAGTATTTTAAATAAAGAAAGAAGGAAAAGCTTTGGACATTGTAATAATGAAAGAAGCGATACAAGAGTAACAAAAACTGAATTGTGTGTCCTCAAGCCTGCTGCAGTAGTTAAGTGCATCTCTAATTATCAGATTGACCCTGATGTTGACTTCCTGGACTCATAACACGATCTTTGTATCGACCTTAATATAAGTTAGCTCAGTTCTTGATAATATAAATTTGTTCACTACTCAACCGATCATTTCAAATGTGGAAGTAAATTTTAAATTTCGACAAAGTCGTAATAATACATTGAAACGACAGAAAGTTGCTATTGGGGAAACGAATAGCGACACTGCAGACGATGCACGTTATTGTGTTGTTAGTTAAAAATCGAACTCGACGGACATGAAAATTAATATCTCGACGACTATATATAAAATAAAGCGAGACTGCAAAGTTGAAAGGCTGAAGATAGAAATCTTGCAATTTCAAAGGATGTTTATGCCCCTATGATGTCGCTGATTTCACGGGCCGGTGCTTCCACTGAAAACAATTCAGGAAAGGTCGAGACTTGACATTTGATAGAATGCTCCTTGGAGCATGAATAAGCCCACAAGAGCCTTTGGCTGCCTTGTATTTTATTATTTTAGCTGATTTTCAATTTTACAACCTCGTTCCTTATCGTGGTACCGAAACATTTTACAATCATTACACAATATTAATCCGAAAGCAACATTAGAAATGTCAAGAATTGTTAATTTATCCTTAAGATATGTATTGATTTGAACAATACGTTATATACATTAAGTTAGACGTTTCAAAAGATTTCTGGATACCTAATACAATAATTGTCATCGTATCATCGTTTGTACTAATAATTCATAGTCTATAAATATAAGTAAGTCTATATATAAATTATAGAAGTTATCTATAATTTTGTCCAAGCCGTAGAAATATCCTTAATCAATAGTTAGCTTTTTCATATATGATAAAATGACGTGACCTTTTTTAGTATAAGTTGCTATGTAATCCTAGACACGTTTTTTAAGTTCATAATACCTGCATTTATTTCTAGAGTACCTCTAATATCCTAATATATTTGTACGAAACGAAATATACGTGGAAGTAGATTTCATTTCTCCACAATTTTCGCCTCAGTTCGCGTGTCGCCAACAATTGATCCAGTAAACACATTCAGCCGTTCGTTTTATTCAATTTTATTATTCATTACACCATAATGGCGTCAAATACGGTAATAAACGTAGTTTATTTTCTTGATTAAAATTTTCTCGGTTTGCGACTGGCTTGTGCACAGAAAAAAACTTTTATAATTTGCATATTTACTGCCATGAGTTACACCATTTGCTTCGGTCTTTATTATTATATTTTTCGTATTGGAATATATTTTAATTCAGTCTGCATTTGATTGCATTATAAAACGATCTCAATGAGATTTTAGTTCATCTGATCTAGAAACATAAAACTAACCTGATCTATAAATATTGATACCTCAAGAATTTTAAATATATGTGCATAAAAAAATAATACGGAAGATTGCTTACTGTTACTGCCTTAAACAAAGAATAATTCGGGAAGAGTACCAAATTACAATACCAATACAAATCCTTACTATCCTTACTAATATTATAAACGCGAAAGTTTGTATCTATGGATGGATGTTTATTACTCTTTCACGCAAATATTACTGAATGAATTTTAATGAAACTTTAAAATAATATAGCTTATATATCAGAATAACACATAGTGTCCGGGCGCTCGCCTTTAATTCAATATACTCGAGCAACCTGAGTTCTAACCCCGGTGCCGGCACCAATGAAGTTTTTAACTTTAAGTGCTGAATTACCACGTGCTCCGCGTTGAAGGAAAACATCGTGAGGAAACCTGCATTTTTTCGAAGTCATAACAAATAAAAATCGAAGATATGTGAAGTCCGCCAATCCGCAGTGGGGACGCGTGGTGGACTATGCCCTGATACCCTCTGTATAGAGGAGGCCTTTGCCCAACAGTGGGACATGTATAGGCTGATACATTACTTTTTTATAAGTAGAATATTACAATACTATAAAAATATAAAATTTCAATTAGAATACTATACTGCGTTGGTGCAAGTTTTCAAAGCAAATTTTTATCTCATCATATGTATTTCTATAATATTTGCCTGTTGGCAAAGAGTAAAAATTTCCTTTGAAAACTTAAAACGGAAGAGAATTTCGCATTCAACTTGGAAAACTGCTTCCCAATGTCACAGCAACATTAAAATTTGTCTTCGGAAACTTATGCACGCTATGAAAGTTTTGAATTCAAACAATTCCAGTTTACACCTTTTATTCCTGACTAGACGATTTTTTCCAACGCTACATGGCACACAGCCAGGGAAGAAGCAACTATTCCAATACAGTATTGGATGATAATTTATTGCAAATTGAACTTTACTGTGTTGACATAGGAGACTGGTGAAAATAGATAACATGCAGATGTAAGTTAGCATGGCCTGTATTGTTTGGGAAAATGATGGCAATAAATATAAAGGAAGGCCTTTAACAGGACTGCCCAATCGCGTCGAAGCGGGCTTTCCAATACGATAGATACATTTTAAGCAGATTTTTCCTTTTTACCGTACAATGAAAATGCTTGTCTATGACAAGAAATGTTTCAACGTACATATAACACAGCGTAAATATATTTTTTGTCCTTTTTTTTGTGAGAAGCTGCAAAACGGGCTGGCGGTTCACCTGATGTTAAGTGATAACTGCCCCATCCACCTCTCTCGCCAGACGAAACGCAAAAGTGTAACACTTCCACTCAAGACTTCCATGTCTTCTGTGAGATCGTGGTACTCACCTGGACGGATGTGCTCATTCGTGCAACAGTGGAGGCTGGTGCGTGACCCTACCACACATTCTGTTAATTTGAATCTTGTTTTCAAGAATAACGGTAAATTTCAGGCCACTTCGCTATCATACATACTGTATAAGAAGTTTTTTGTAAATTTATTTTTATTTCATCTTTTTCATCTATAGTAGCAAACATATATATAAAATGGTTTTTGAATCTTTAAATTTGACGAAACATTACGAGAAATAATGGCGTTCAAACAAAAATAAACTTTTGAGAAATAAAAAAGTCGGAAAGTCGGAAAGTCGGACTCCCCGACAAAGGGTTCCGTATCTATAAAAACGGCAAAAATTATGCCTGTTGTATGGGAGCCCCACTTAAATATAAATACAAATTTATTAAAGAACAGAATAAATAATTTGATCTTTAGTTATTTGTTGTTGTTTGTTGTTATAGCTGCAACAGACATCTGTGAAAATTTCAACTGTCACTATCACGGTTCATGAGATATAGCTTGATGACAGACGGACAGATAGACAGCGAAGTCTTATTTAATTAGGGTTCCCGCTTTACCC